GAGTTTCGCTCAAATGTAGAACAATAGTAAGTTCAAGCAAATGATCGATTACTTGTTCATCTTTATCTATGTAATATATGGAACGAACTCTTCACCGACTTTTATTTTCATTCAGGATTGGAAAATACATCAATTGATTTTGATTAATGATTCTGCTGCCGAAATAAAAATCTTGGTGAATCTCTTTGTCTAAACATCTTTTTACTCGATATGCATTTGCTGTAACAAATATGCAAACACTATGATGTTCATAAAGAATAGAGGCAGATGAAGTGCATCAATAGGTCGATGTAAATAAAAGACAACAATGAATCATAGAAACAATAGAGAAAATAATAACAAATAGTAATAAGCAAGTGATAACAAGATATGCAAAAAGAAAATTGTAAATCATTGAACAATTTAGTCCAGCATGTAAAAGTTCTTCATATTGTTGATGATTTTTTCAGCTACTTCACTAATGGATAATTTGAACATTTTACCAATACATTGATAAACTTTTATGACAAAAATCGGGTGCGTTTCCCAAACATGAGGGCACTAAAGAGATAAAATTATGCTTCATATTTAAGTAAATTTCAAAAGAAGATCTTGCCTCATCAATTGTAAGATGTGGTGCCGCACTTTCAATAAGTAATGAATTAATATCTGCACGTTGGATCATTTTTTTCATATTTTCATTCACAAAAATACTTGGACTGCACCCAAAAAATACACAACTGAATTTTAATTTTACTATATCCATTTCTTCATTTCCATAATCAAACTGACGCCAGCATAATTTATGATCATTTGGCAATTCCTAGAATAATACAAAAGGAAATAGTCATGTATTCTTTTCTTATCTAAAACTGATCTTACTTGACATAATATTTCCATTGTTTGAATAAAACTGTTTCGTGAATGAACAACCACAGGAAGATTTTTTTCACGAGCTATAGATAGTTGTTGAACAAAAGCATATATTTGAGAATCATCAGATGGTCGTAGTGTACTAATAAAGAACAAAGTTTGTATTTTAAATAAATGATCAAAATCGAGGTAGGATGAATACTTTACCTTGAATAGTCAAGACCAATTTCTCCTACACCTTTCACCTTCGGATGTGATATGCAACGTCGTATATTCAACTCCATTGTTAAATCAAGATGATGTGCATATAATGGATGCATTCCAACAACACCATAGACAATTGGATGTCCCATATATCTGGAAAACTTTTGTTTCCAATTTTCTAAATAGAGGAAATAAGCTTTGTTATAAAAAGAATACATTTACCTTCAAGAAAATGGCAAGGTGCAAAATAAGCTTGGATTATGTATAACATATCAATGCCTTTTTCGTAGATTCGATGATTATGTTCCAAATATTTCCAAATGGTTTGATTTGGACAATTTAATCTAAGTAATATTCAACAATCCAATAAATATTCCGTGAAGTTATATACTCACTTGTCAAATAATGTATCAAAATGACATCGAGCGTCAGCAACATATAACGATGAACATTTTTGGTTAGGATCAGATAACAGGATATTGTTGATCATATTGAATATTTCAGATTCAATTTGTGGACGAGATAAATAATGACTAGTTCTTTCAATCGGTGCCAATTGATTTCTAAAAAAACAAAATGATTAAAAACATAAGCTTTAATTTACTAATAGTCAGTATCAATATACATTCATATGTCCGTCTGATTAATAGTCTCTTTAAGATGACATATCATTTTTGTCAAAGAACTTATCAAATTATTTCAATAAGTTTTCTTTTTCGTTTTTAACAAGCGAGAAACAATAGCCTTAAAAAGTTCTTCAGTGAAAATAATTTACGTTTTCCCAAACAATGACATACTTGTTTTGAATATTCAATAAAATATTGTCATTTATATATTCAACATTTGCTTGTGTACATAATAATAAATCTGCATCTTTTTCATTAACACATTGTTCTGTTTGTTGTGATTCTGTTTTGTATGTAGTTATTGGATCAATGAATATCTCTTTCTCTTGATATTCAATACTTGCTATTGGATTTGGTAATGAACATGCTTTGTCAACAACAACTTGTTTGCCTTGTTGTGCTTCTTCTTTGGATATACCTGTTAGATCACTCAATTGAATTGATGTTCCTATAGAACTAGACAAAATAATCTATTAAATTAATACTTGTGAAAGATACAATTGAATATTACCTTAAGGATGATGGTGAGAGACACCCTTTATACACATTAAGGTTAGTAGTACAATGTTTGTTGGACAAAGATAATAGTGATGATAATGTATCTCCACGATAAGCATGACGGGCCATATATATTTGAACACCACGTCCTCGAGCACAACGTCGAATCAATGTTTTACCTAGAAAAAAAATGTAATGAACAGTTAGTTATTCCTTCATGATTCAAAATAAAACATCATTACTTGAATTCAAATCTGTTTGATGTACATTTGTCTGATGTTGTAAATCAAGATGATCTCTGAAACTATAAATTTTTATACCATATTCAACATAGAACAATTGATGAAATTTCTACTTATCAACTGATGAACCATTTCCATTAGAGATATCATTCGACATCATATATATTCAACTGTTGCTTGTATAAATATGCAATCTAAATGCAGTATAACCATGTGAGAATAATAGTTGAATAATCTAAACAATAAAAAGCCTTACAATTTATAACTGAGATCAGATAGGCAAAGATAAAGTAATAGACTGTAAATCGCTGATTGATGAATATCGATTTTTTTTATTAATAATCGATGATGGAATTAGTCTAACATTTATACATAGCAGCGTAATTCACAACATAATTGGAGGTCACTATACTAAACATTTATTGGACAGTTCTCTATCGTATTTACTGATTTGTTCTTATTTAGTTCAATAACAAAAAAAAACAAAAAACCTATCTATTGGATGACCATTTCATTGAGTCACTTTAAAACTCAATGTTCATTTTATCAAAGATTTCTAGATTTAATCGGGACAAAAAAGTGTAATAAAAGGATATGATTATAGAAAAATTAAATTTGATAATCGAGTAAAATTATTAATATAATAATTGAGTCATGTGGGAAAATTCAATCTTCTATCTGCATTATGCATAACGTGTATTTGTTTTTACTTTCTTCATTAATCATAATTTGATCTAGTATAAAATATGTATAGCTTCTCAACCGAAATCAGGCACTCTGAATGATATCCTATCTTGTAAATTTACAATATCAGTAGCAATCACCGACTACAAATAATTCGTGTCTTTTTGAACTGTGAAATACATTGTACATGTGTGATATAGATTCGTTTCATGTAAAAATAAATACTTGAACGTAATGAATGTATTCAAAAAAGTCATTATGTTTATTTAATATATGAACGAATTTATTTTCAACGTATTAGATGATACTTTAAATGCATTGATTGTTAATTCTATAATTAAAAAATATTGAGCGGTAGCAAATAACGCACAGAGGAAACAATATCAAAGAAATAACAAAAATACTTGTTATAATTTTTGTTTATGGCAAAAAGAAACGTGAAAAACTTTGATGGTACAATCAAGTGAAATCCTTTAAAATAGCATTATACTTTTAGACTCTCACAGTGTCTAACGAAGTCTGATGAAGTCTTCTGAAGTCTTTGATAATCTTTGCGAGTTTAGGACATAGATGTTTTTAAATTCGTAATCCGTCACTTCGATCATATTTTATGAAATGAAACAATAGTACACCTTTGTTTTCGAAAATCTCTTTTTTCTCACGATCTCTCATGAAGTAATACAACCAATATCTTTTAACGTGCTAATATATAGTTGCGATAGTGAACACGTAAAAACTAGAAAGAAAATATCAAATGGACCAAGTATTTAATTTTTTCTTTTGTAGGAAACGTCTAAAGAATATAGTCCTCAATGCTTATACATATGTGATGACATGCATATTAAATAGAATTACAATAATATACTTGATATTTTAAATGAATTGTAATTTATTTTTTCACAATAAGATATACATAAAATAAGCAATATAAAAAAGGACATAGACAACAACATGAACAGTTAAAGAGAGATATGTACTATCAATACAATAAACGTCATTATGGTAAAAAATAACTTGTGGAATATGCAATCAACTTTATGGATCTTTGAACTTTATTGAAATCAATCGTAGATATAATCTTGAATATCATTATCTTCTTCATCACTTTCAGATCGTTTTTGTTCACTTATTTCATCGATATGAGAAGCCTAAAGAAAGTGAAATGAGTATATAAATTAAGGATTGGGTTACAAATAGCAACTTTACCATTACTTGTACCCACGAAATTAATTTTTTGGTAGGTGGTGGAATATTTGATTTAGCAGCTAAATATAGATTATCTGGAAAGATGTTTGTATGAAAACAATTTCGTAAATGGAAAATAATGCAATAAAATATGTTTGAATATGGCCATGCAATTGATCGTAATGTAGCTTTAAGTTTTGTAAAATGTGAAAATAATTGTTCGCAAACTTGTGTATTTTGATTATCAAAAAACGGGCGATTATCAGGATGAGAACATGATAAAGTGGTTTTACATTCAGGTCGTGTGTGATTACGTCTATGGAATCTGTCAATACAGTATTTTTTCTGTAATAATTCATCAACATAAGGTAATTGTTGAATTGATATACAATATTGGTTTTTTAAATATGCAACAAATGTACAAGCCGAATCATAAGCAGCAGCAGGTGGTAATATTCCTCCTAAATGAAGGTATTTTAATAGATGATAAGTATTACGACGCATTCCTTCAGAACGAACACTTTCATTCCATCCTATAATTACATTGCAATTTGAAACAATAGCCATAAAACCAGCAGTACGTCGTTTGTGTTCTCGATCATCTTCGTCACGATGAACAGTACATTCATCATTTGCTTCGAATATATCTGCCATACGTTCTTGTTCAAGTGCTTGAGCAACTAAAGGATCTGGTGAATCGTTTTTAATTAAAGAATGATCGTAATGATTTATACAATAGTATTTACATTTCCTCTTATCATTAGCTTTGAAGAAAAAGAAATAGAATCAGCAGTTATATTATGGAAAATGTTATCTATACATACCTAATTCATTTTTTAATATACTTGATGATGAACGAAGTGGTGGACGAGGACAGCCAATAGCCACAGGCCCTAATTCTGGTATTGATTCATCACATGATCCGGTATGGGCACATACCAATCGATGTGCCTTCATATGCGTATCAAATACAAAATTGAGCATACATGTATCTTTGGCTTGACATTCGCATCCTTTGACTTGTCCATGACGAGACCAAAATTTAACGAAGAGTTCATAAAAAAAAAGACTATTTGCTTCGAAATATAAATCATGTGAAAAACGTTGGATAATATCTGGAATTTCAATGGTTTGTGAATTTGTCATGAAGAAAAGGTATCGACATATTTCAAACCATGTCCAAGTCTTATATTAAAATAATCAAAAAGCATCAAAGATTTATTTATCAATAGTCATGCAAGAATATTTACCGCTGCAAAAGATTTTGGTTGCAGTTTCTCTTGAACAGGATCTTGTTTACGAAAACTTCGATTTTGATCGATATCAGTATTAGTCGCGTTTGTATATGATTGGAAATTCGATGCTGCTTGTTGGATAAGGTTGGTAAATCCAATTATCAATATACGTTCATAAATTAAATGATCAAATAAATGGATATATTCTTGTTTAAAAATTGCATCTGATACAACAAATCTTTCCCGTGTTCGACGATTTCGCATATGACCATATTTATAAATAATATCACAGCATTCATTCTTATAAAGTATACCATTATATACATTGTTACGACCAATAATAATACATGTTTCATCAAACTCTGGTTCTTTTAATTTAATTTGACACATGATACATGTTTTATTTTTTGGAACTAGTTGATAAATTTGAAAACGATGAGGTTGTAACTCAAATCTGGCTTGTAACTGTTCGATCGCTAATAATAATCGTTCATGTTCATTGCTGAGTAATACCTGTTCGACTAATTCTGGTATACGATTAATTGACATAATGCTTGGCCAAATATTAGCTTGATAATCATTACCAGTAACTTCATTAACGATAGCCAAAATAGTTTGTTCTCTCTTCCTAAAATCACTGACAATATTCATTGGATAAAGTCTAATAAGACGTAAAAATAAAGCTACATGTGATGGTGCAACATATTGAAAAATATTCAACAAGAAATTTTTATTAGATTCTGATACATCCATTGCTAATATTGATATTTGCGCATCATCTAGAACTCTGAATTAGATATTATCAACTGTTAAAACTAGATTAGCAAGATAAAGAGTGTGTTCGATTTCTTCGAGGATAGTATTTTCTTTCTTTATTATGTACGTAAATAACAAATATAACGAGTAACGATTAAAGTAAAAGTTCATAGAAACAATGAACATATTTTCAGAATTAGAAATGAAAATACAATAACAATTACTTGTTTCTTATAGAATAGAAAAGAAGAAAACGAACAAATATGAAAGAAAAAAAATAGAAGAACAATGTTCTGAATGTTTTTTCTCGATAATGAGAAGTAATAGACATAGTATATACAAATATAAAAGCAAATTCAGATACACAATATAAAGATGAAAATAATAAAATTAAAATAATACACATATAATAAGTACAAATGTACATAAGTTCAAAATCAATATGCAATACATAATAGATCAAATAGGCATATTATTGAGGATCATTTGCGTGGTAAAACATTAACGCATAATTTGTCATTATAAGTCATCATCAGGAAAACGTTTCGGTTTTCGTTGTCGTTTGGCTGGTGGTTCGTTAGTTGTTTGATTTTGTCGTTTAGTACCTAAACGTTTTAATTCATTGTTTGTTCGTTGAGAAGGAGTCAAATTGGAACGTGGTTGATCAAATGAATCGGTCACTAAAGGAAAAGAATTAAAAAAATATAATTTTAACAAGGAAATGAATGAATTTATTTTACCATCATCATTTGACGCTGTGGTCAAAGCCACTACTATAGGACTAATTTTCTCTTCTGAACATTTAACTTTGTCTTGAAAATACACAGTGATTTCTCCTTCTTTGATTTTTTCGTACCAATGACGATTTAATAACCAATTGTGGTGTGCTGTGTTAAATATATTATTAACAATTGGACTTCTTGTTGATGATGTTTCATTGTTCAAAACTTTGTCAACATATTCATCTAATCCAATCCCAACTTTTTTTCGAAGTTTAGTTTCAAAAGAAGATGCTTCTGATGCGGACATAGAAACAGGAAACATCTTTAAATAGCCAATTTCCGGTTTAATTGTCTTTTTAGTTGGAATATTGGACACAAATAAATCATTAATTGGATCAATCAATTGGTTTTGTTTTAAATATGCAATGACACGATTTTTTGTTTCAGCATTATTATATAGTCGAGTCACATCGGTGTTTGTAAATGCAATGAATGGTTTTAACATAAGTTTCTTCGATAAAGCAATAAGATCTAATTTGCAAAAGAAAAATATAAAACATCATATGAACATTGACTAATTTTAACAAAGATTTTATTTAGTTTAGCCTTGCCTTCGTTGGAAGTTTCATCCATATCTTTCGACACATCAGTATATTCAAAAGATGCTGTATTGGGAGACGATGTTGTTTCCAAATTGGAATGAAAATCTAAATATTACTAATAGATACATAAAGAAAGAACTTAGTTATTTAACTACCATATTCAATAGAATTAAATTCAGAACTACTGTACGATTCCTCATTTTCTTGTTCGATTGCAATCAACGATGATGATTCGGGAGTCAATTCCTGAAGAAAATAATCAGTTAATATGATGAATGTATTATAAATAGAATAAAACCAGATTTTGTTGTTGTTGCGATTGTAAACTTGTATCACTATTACGAATATTCATAGAATAATCGGTGGGATAATCATATTCAACAGAATTCGAAGCTAAATATGACAAACGAAAGTTCATATCATAATGTAAATGTTTTACATACCATCAACTGCTGCATTACTATTCATATTATCATTTGTGGACATTTCTTCTACAATGGTACTGTTGAATGCAGTTGTTAAGGATTTATTAATATCGTATATTGAATTGTCTAAATAGAAAAGGAAAAAGTAATATTAAAAAGAGAAGAAATCTATACTGTGTTCTTCATTTATACAAGTTGTATGTCGGATGATTTTTTCATCATTGTTAATGACGTTATCCTTCCCATTATTATTGACGAATTCTAAAATTAGAATTATATTTATATTTGAATTTAAGTGAAAAAAAAATCCTACCACCTTCCAATACATCCCATACATTTGAACATTCTTCTGTGATAATACTGTTGATACTCGACATTGAAGCAGTTTGATTGTCTAGTTGAAAATAAATCAAAGTAATTACGGAAATCACATTAAAACAGAGCAAAAACTTACCTTTTTCATCCAACGAAACTTGCTCTTTAAGATTATTAATTGAATCGTTTTTATTTGGATGAATATCGGTAAAAATTTTTGATGCTTGAAATCGTGTTTGCAGTTCTTGAACATCATCAATAATTAATGAAGTCATATTGACCGTATCAGATTCAGTTAAATCGATCATCATTGTATCGGAATTATTACTTCGATGATGATCGAGGATCAATGACGTTCTTTCATTTTTTGAAGAATTATTCTTTTGAGAAATGGCTGGAATACAGAGTTTGTTCAATTGATTCATAATGTAACGATCATCTTTCATTTCAAAAGCATGTACAGGTGATAAAGTAAATGTATGTGTTTCAGGATCGATACCGATTAGACCATTACGTAAACCAGGTTTTAATATTTCTTGAGCAACAGGATCATTGGCATTGCCCAAACGATGAATAATTTCAATGAAATCAGATAAATTGGAACTAATATAATTAATTGCTGGTTTATCAATCTTCCCTGCTATATCAGACGTACAGAGAAGACATTGTTTCCATAATTGTCGATAATTATTAATATTCAACTTTAATTCGGTTAGTGCTTCGATAGCCATATTATTTTGTTCGATTTGACTAGGTGTAGCCATTACGAAACTTGAACGAGTTCCTTTAATAAATCGATCTCTATTCGATGGTTGATATATCAATCCATTATCGACCAAATATTCAATTGCTCTTGACAATCGATCTTTATCATTGTGAAATTGTCTATAAGTATTGAAGGTTGATAATGAAAAAAAGATAAATTTTGATAAAATTATTGTTGAAACATCATCGTATACCGATGCACGACCACTATGTTTTTTTCGTACATCACCGTGTTCTTTTTGTACATCATCATGTTTTTCTTGTACATCACCACCACTAATATAAATAAAGAATATCAAAGGAATAAAGTGAATTAAAGTATACTTTTTTAACGATCGAGATAATACTGGAGATGTATTGAACTTTTCTTGGATAGATGATAAATCAAATAATTGTCGAGATACATAGTCAACATGACCAAAAAATAGATCTCCCATCATAGCTGTACTTTTCTCGATGATAAGAATTTTTGTACCATCATCTTTACGTAAATGGGCTGGAAATCGCTTGTCGATAACCTTGTTGACAGCTTCGACGAAAGCATTAGAAACACGATATGGTGATTTCACGACTTCTGATATTTCAATAAATGGATATACATCATCATCCCACAAAATATCCATAATCGCTCGAAAACGAGCAAAATTACAAATAAAACTAAATTAAATAAATAATTTATTATCTAAGATTCATAGAGTAGAAAATATTTACCGAGGAATTTTGGCGGAATTTTTAAAGCTAATGATAGCTTCATGTTCTTGTTTTTCTGTTTCTGTTGCTTCTTTCCATTGATCGTAAACTCGATTAAACATGTAATAGTGAGCACTTTTGCTATGTTCATAAGATGAATCACTTTCAGGTTCTTCGAGTTCAATTTCAATTTTTGATGATGAATGATGATATTGTCGATTGGCAGTAGGTCGTAATCGTTTCCACTTCTCTTCAACGTCCGAATTAAGTACATCTTTAAGACAATGTAAAGAATTTCTATAAGCAAATTAAAACTACTTTTACTTGATTCTTTTTTTTCCCACTTGTCATAAACATTTTGTCGTGCAATATATTCAATTTTTCCAAGTAAAAAAGATACTGTATAGACATGTTGAAGTGATGGTACCATGTTCGATATTACACCACTAGTACCAGAATTGGTTTTGATAGCTTTCATTACAGGACACGGATAATGAGTAAATCGATTATGAGCACCACTAACACCATGTGCTCTAAATAGATAAAAAGATTCAGACCATAATGAAATCTTTCTAAAAATTATTTACTCATAATGTTGTTGTGATACTCGTGCATAAGGATCACCAACACTTGCACCAATAATGGAAGCACGTCTTCCTTCTGGAATGTTGTATGATGTAGAAAGAGTAGCTCGATTCTGATGTTTAGTTCCATCGAACATTTGAATAAGCATATTGACATTTTCAGAAAACCGAGGATCATTATATTGATTGCCATAAACACCCAAATTTGATAGTAACGTATCGCACTCGGTCGAACACAATAAACGATTGCCATATAATAAACTTCGAAATACTTGAAGTGCTGTTGACTATAATAGACAAAAATAAACAAACTGAATGGTAATTTAATATGTAGCTTACATTTGAAACAATAAATGGTTGCTCAAATAATAAATCGATACTTTTATTTGGATGTTGAATATATTCTTGGTTTATGTCCATTTGAGACAGTGTTCGATTTAATGCATCCATATGAGGAGTTAATGCTGATGATTTTCCACTACCTAAATTATCAATAATAGGTAAATCCACACAAGAAAAATAATATTCATATTAAGATTACCTGATGTACCGATAACATGTCCAAACATATTTGTTCCATCAGGACTTCCATTGTTCACGTAATGATAATAATATGAATTGCTATTTACAGCAGACAAAAAATGCAACAAAATATACAAACTAAGACCTTTGTCGACGTTGCTATCAGATGACCATGACAAAAGTGTTGCTTTCTCAAAAGATGTTAATTCTGTTAACTTATCACATGGATCAAAAATTGCACTATCCAAGCATAATCGACTTCGAGTTTGTCCTTGCATTAACATAAAATCCCGTAAACTTGGTTTTTGTAAACGAGACAACATATTCAACCGACGTTTCAGTAAGAAAATAATAGGTAAGACTTAATTATGTATCAAACTATTCAACACCAAACGTAAACGAATAATGATGAATATCACCACTTTAATAACAACAATAATAATATTGAATAGATTTAACCACGCATTCTAAAATAAAAATCATTATTTTGACGACGATAGCGAATAAATGGAGAAAAAATTTATCACTGATATATACGAATGAAAATGCGATATTTATACATACCCATAAACAAAGACAATACGCCGTCGACGAATATAACCAAAAACAACTCCGACTAAAATTCATCAAAATTACCCTTGAATTGTTAAGCAATAGCGAGAATAAAACAAAGCATCCAATGCAGACGTTTATACGAAACATCTTCTTTCTAAAGATATATAGACAAAAGTGCAATCTTCACCTCGACATATCTTTCTTTCCTTCTTCTCGTCCACCACAGAAAAACATCGTCATATAATACACAACCTATATAACCCCTGGAGCAAAAAAAACAACTAAACGATAAACGCTCAAAGAATAAATAGAAAAATAAACATCATTAAAACTAATTATCACCTACTTACGCTGAACAAAAAAGTTTATACTTAACACAGTAATATCTAAAAAAAATTAAAATGACGTAAGAAATTTAAAACTAATATCAATCCAATCTAACCAAATCACATTATCAAACTCTAACAAAAAAACAAAATATATTTTCTCTCTACTCTTGAACTTAAAAGAAAATCGATATGAATATCTATCCAAACACAATAAAACCCACCCATGATTAATCATGGTTTCCAATCCGCACGCATTTCTCAATACATAAAACTCAGTGTCAATCTATATGTATTCCTACAAAAAACATCACTATCTCGAATAACATGGGTATCTATGTATATCTGTATAACTATATAACTATGA